GCAGGCAGGTAATTATATTTGACCGTCCACTGGTTAAATTTTCTACCAAATTTATGTTGAATAATAAAAATCTCTCCCGCGGTTGTCGATAATGGGGTTCAAGCTGCTGCTCCGTTAAATAAATAAATTATATAATTAAAACGCAGACACATTATGTAATTTATTTAGCGATGTACTATAAATGTGGCCACGTTAATGCGATCGCTAAAAGAAATTAAAGAAATTTTTAATCAGTGGGTCGATAGTTCGCTAATGTAAGGTAATGTTGCATGACCCGATAGATATAATTGGACATATTATAATTATTGATTGCGTTACCAAATGAAACAAATCAAAGAAATTCTGTTGAGCCTTTTTCAAGAAAAACCCTTCAGAGAGGGTAAAGAAAGCAATAAGAAAAATAATTATTCTTATTAATTCCTTTACAGTAATAATTATAACAATTAGCCTCAATTTCTTTCGAATAAAGAACAATACTATAAAAATTTTAATGGTAGCTGTCGAACGAAGTTTCCTGTGAACTTCCGTGAACTATTTTTGTTCCAAATGTCCTTTTCGAGGATCGAGCTTGCGAACTGGGACTTGAGGGTTTCGAAAACGAAAACGAACGGCATTTCGCGTCATTTCTCGTGCGGCGCTGTGCACATTAATTACAGAAACGATCCAATCATTCATTCCAGGTCGGAGATGCAAATAACACGCGGAACTACGTTCGACGCGATGGATGTTAGACGATTAACTTGCGAGGCATCGAGGCAACGTCGCGATAATCTCGATATTAATCTTCGTCTTCGGAGACGCATAACCACATTATTGTCTATCAACCGCGATGATAATTCGCGAACAAGAAAAACTCAATCGCAGGGGACGGAAGCAAAAATATAAAAGGAAATTTGCTTGGAAAACATAAATGACGAAAGAAGACAAACGCAAATTACTTGGGAGTTTACGTTCATTATCGTGAAACGCTTATATTATTGAATCATACAAGTAGATACTTTCTCGTATGGTAGTTTTACTTGTTTGGTAATTTGAAACAAATGTTATCTCAAGTGTATTATTTATTTATTAATATATACTCCATTTTTCTAGTATTTCGTGTGTAAACTACTTTGAGTAACAGTAATATAGTATAAATCAAATTGAATTAAATGAATATGAGCGAATAAAGTACTCAAGATTGCACTGCTCCAAACTACCAATAAAATAAAGCCACACTAATTATTAAAATTATTATCAAAGAGGAATGAATTTATTTATCAAAACACCTAATAAAGAAAAATAGGAATTCTCAGAACGACATGATCAACTAATGATTCCACACGCGAGCAACATTTCAAAGTATCATAATTTAGTAACAATCTACTCCGAGAAATTCCAGTTTCTGCTTGAACTCTGATCCCACGCAAAGAAACCCGTTTTCCGAAAAAAAAGGTGTGTAATTTGCACGTTTCCCGGTGGATACTTTATCGAACGCTGTAGTAATTTCAGTGATTTAAGACCGACATCGCAGGCTACTCCAATTTAGAGAATGGTCATCGATTTCACAATTACGTTTGATTTACGTTATACAGGCGTTAGCGACGATCCTATTTTCTACGTGTTGCTGTATCGATGCTGTTCAGACTGACTTCCGTTCAGACTGTCTCCATTTTTCATAAACTTTTTCTATCGCGAGCTGGGAACCTTTAGTAAAGTGCAACACTATAATTTCCAAGAACGGAAAGATCTGGAGTCTATAGTTGTTGAGAAAAGAATTATCTATCTCATCAAAGATACCAGTATGCTATTTAGAGAGGAATTGTTTCGATACTCCGAACAAATTAATTTTAATTTGCTTGTTACTCGGTGGTTGTTTATCAAACATGTAAACATAAGTTGATGCGTCGAACCAGCATCAAAATTTATGGTGTTTTTAATACTTTACCGAGAAGTTTCAGTGAATATTGAATGGACGAGTTGAAGAGAGTAATTTACAACATGCGAGACTACGGGTTTCCACGTTAACGTGGTATAAATCATTTCTTTGCGTTCACCTAAGGACGTAAATTATCATTAAAGGAGAAAACTCTTCTCGTTGGCGTTTACTCGATGCCGTTACAATTCATTCGAGTATTCTAAGCGGCAATTAACCATTCTTCGGAAGAGCTAAACAGTGTGTCGATATCGCGAATGATTAATAGCCAATGGAAAACTTTCTACAGGATCTCAACGGGTGGATTTTCTTTTTCCATAAAAATGTGTCTAGCTAGTCGCTGCCCTTCATTTCTCTGCGATTATGTCAGCGGTTTGGTATGAGGACTCGCTACCGAGAAGTCGTATTGCGTTCGCGAATAGCTAGAAAAAGGAAACACGAATTCCAACGTTCGATTTGTGACAATACCTATCGACAGATCAAGGGGAATCGCTATCAAAGTGAATTGCTATCCAAAGCTTGGAAAAATTTAGAAAATAGTAATTTTTTTTTTTACTTTTTTTTTAGTTACTTTTACTTTTACAGTTACTTTTACTTTTCAGGTATTTTCCAACTAATCACGAAAATTAGATTAATGAAAAATACAAAGTATTTTCTTGCACATATACATGTATATACTGTTTTTTAATATTTTAATCAAATAGAATTTCAGTGCAACTCGGGACTTGTTTCGCTCCAAAAGTTTTGTGCCTCAAAGGGGACAAAATTTGTTTCCAAGGTATGTAAACAGTATGTTTTGAAGATAACATACATCTGTTGATATAGCAGGACCAACGTTGGCAAAGGTAAGCAAAAAGGAGCAAACGATGGATAAACAAACGAGTTTCGATCGCAGAGTGACTACAGAAACAATTTACAGAACCATAAGAACACCCAAACTGATAAAACATGATCAATCATAATTGACCTCATCGACATCGCAAATACCCCTTTAAACTTGCAAAAACCATTAACCTAAATATTAATTTCAATTTCTAATTATATTTCCACGTTACGATCGACCGTATTAAATATTAAATAGTTCGAAATTGTTGCGAATGACAAAAACAGTTATTCAAACAGCTAATATCCAACTATGGAAATTCGATAAATAAGTCTTGTGGAAGCTGTGTTCTTAATGTGTCAATTAAAAGTGTCGATACTTCCGATTATAAATATTGAACCTTCGTCGGAATGAAATTGTAATGACGACTACAAGAACTGGGAACTGGCTTCTTTGTGCCACGAAAAACTTGGTGCCGAAAGTGTGACCAATAAAAACCAAGCTCGTAAATTACTACATTGGCAAAAAGCAAAATGAGGGTGCATTTCATTCACGATCTTGGAGGATATGTATTACGCAGTAATACCTATCAATTGCTTGCAAAATTTTACTTCTTGCGTCGTGAAAAATGATGTATGAAAATGTCTCTTCGTAATGTATTTTGTATTATTCACGATATTCAATTGTTAATCTCTTTATTTATAGATTGGAAATGTTAAATTAGTAACGCGTTATTATAGGGAATCTACTTGTACTAATGGTATTGGTCGAATTATGAATAAATCTTAAGCTATTTTTAATTATAATTCATGTATTCATGTATTCTCCATGTACCAATTGATTTAAGAAAAGTTTCCATTGTAATTAACGATCGTACTCGAATCTTGATAGTACAGAGATACCTTTAATTATCTGTGTAAATTGATTTGGAATATTCACGGTGAAACTAGAGACCCCTAAATTACCATCTGTTTTCCTACAACAAGATCGAGTTCCAAGAAATATACGAACCGAGGATTTCCAGGAAAACGAAAGCCACAAGGCTCGGTGCTTAATCAAAACATTGCTTCGATTTTGGTAGCATTCAGGAGCGCGTAAACACGGGTCACTTTCGTGGAAAATGTTCTCGCGAAGGACCGAGCTCCTTTTCCAGGAATTCGTAAAGGACGATAACAAGCCTGGCAAACTTTACACATAACATTCCTCGCTCGACGAAATATTCTAAAATTTTATGTTAGGAATCGTTTGGCGCTTCCAATTACTACACTGTTATTATTCCTTTACCAATTCTGGGAAACTAAATTGTTTAAAATAATGTTTGTTACAACATATAGTAACCATTTGTTGAAAATAAGTTAATAATAAAAAAACAAACGATAAATATACAGTAGTAGCAATAGAAATTGTCCATTCTTGGAAAATAGAGTTTGTAGAATATTTGAAATAGTTGTGCAAGTGTGGTAGCTACATTTAAACAATTTTGTTGCAATAAATTATGCCAACTTTAACGAAAACCAACTCTTTAATGCTTGACAACATGAACAGTGTTTATGTGAAAATAAACACAATAACAGCGTTAGTATCGGAATAGTACACAAGAATGTGTGTAATTCTTTTGCATCCAAAAAAACCAGCATGGTGTTGCAGAGGAATGCAATTAGTTTCTAAACGAAAGCAAACGGCCTAACGCCTAACCCCGTGACAATTATGTTTTGTTGAGGTTGCCATAAAAATTATAATTGTGTTAAAAACGTAGGTGAACGGCACAAGTACTATTATTTAGAATAATATAGATCGACTATTATCATACGAATTAAATAAATACACAATTGTCAAGAGTGAATTAGAAAATAATTATTGCGTTTTAATACTTTGGCTTTCGGTGACATAAATCGTGAAATCTAATTAAGCTTTTTATATATAGATACACGTTTAAAAATAAGTTAGTAATTAAAGTAATTCATCTCTTTGCCCCAAAAATTCTGTAACAGTAGACCCATTGATAATTGCATATCCCAATAGCGTAAATTATGATATAGAGAGATAATTTGGCCCTTTGCTAAAAATTTCATTGAAAAATGCTAATAATTGCACACGTTTTAATAGTATTTGTTCCAGTGTAATCCAACTGGAAGAAAATACTCAAAGTCTGTCCAAAATCCAAAGGATTTTCGGATTTTTGGGTAAAACACATAGATAGAAACCCGTGGAAGGATTGAAATCGAAGTATCTAAGAATTATCGCTAATCGAAGAGGACTCACCTTGCTCTGGACATAGTCCAGGGCCAGCATGCAATCCGAATATCCGCTCTCGGTCTTGATCGTGGTGCCGGCTTGTCCTGGTCCGGTGGAGCAGAACCCGGAACCGACGACTCCGACGGGGCCCCCGAGACCCGCTGCCGCCGCCGCCGCGACGCTGTCCCGATACCACGGATACATATCTCACTGGACACTTGGGAGAATCCCTCGAAAATCCTTCCTCGAATCAAAAATCCTTTTTTTTTTTTTTTTCGACACCGAGGGCGCCACGTGGTCCCGTACGCGTCACTGGGGTATCACTTGCGTCGCACAGCCGGCACCGATTCTCGTCCGACTGGCTAAAACGTTTCGCAAAACGTCGATCAGCTCTCGACGAGTCCACGCGAAAATCCTTCGCTAGTATCGAAGATTCACCGCGTCCCGGTCGACAGTCTCGTCCCCGTTTCCCCGCATATCTCACTCGCGTCGAAACACTCGCATATCTATCTATGTTCGAACAAACACTAGCTCGACGAACGTAAACGGAGCAGACGTTCGAACGAGCGTCGAAATTGGATGGCACGCGCCACACAAATACAACCGAGGACAGGTACAGTCGCGGCGTAATGTAAACAAGCAAGACTCACCGTCAAGGGTGAACACGGATTCAACCGTGTTTTCTCTGTCCGTCCTTTTCTCCCAGTGATTCTCGTTCGCGAGCCTCGAGTCTGTCTGGCAGCGAGAATAAACGAAATATTCTTGAAAATATAAACCGTTTCACGGGTCTCTCTTCTGACTAGATTATTCTCTCTCCCCGCTTCCCTTGCTCTTCTTACTCGTCGCCGCAACGAATCGACGCTATTCCCCCGAAATCGTTTCCGTACCGTTGCTTTATTGCACACCGTGTTGTTACACGTTCTCGCGTAATTGCACTTGAAAACTGCACTTGAGATAATTGAATAAACACTGACACGACGAACATAAAAGTTCAGTTGACGTGCAGCACCACGTTACTGGTGGGTTTCCAGGCTGGCCACCGGCTCCGTCGTATTCATCGTACTCCTCTTACTGTCGCCGTCGACCGTCACTCGCCCACGAATTACCAGATCCCGCGACTCTCCGTAGACGTTCCATGATCGTTCACTTCGCGATGCGAAACTCTCGTCGTGGAATCTATGCCCGACAGCTCACCGTGTCGAGACCACCGCCACGTCCTTGTTGGCGCTCCGTGCAACGTCGTCCACTAGTTTCATAATAAAAATAGCTAGAGCTGCGTGGATTCTCTTCGTCTTCTGTCTCGTCGCGACGGAGATGAACGTGTCTTGATTTACTTTCGAGGTGATTCGAACGCCCAGGTCCGCGGAGATGACGGTGACGCGACCGCGGCCATTTTACCGGCGACGAGAACTGGCGGGAAAACGAACACCTCGGAAAAGCTAGGTTTTTTCTAGTTGCCAGACTTCCCGTGACGAGCGATCTCGAACACTCGATAATGGCCGCCCCTCGAAACGTTCGCTGTTCGACGTCCTCTTCCTGGATAACCTGGAGACCGTCCTTGCTTCTTGCGTGGATTTTTTTGCTTGCCGTGCACCGGGTGAGGAAAAAACAGAACCGGCGGGGTCCGGAAATCGTGAACCGTGGACCGCGAACGCGGTTTCAGCACTGACGCGGGAGTCGCGATTCGAACGCCCGTTCGGCCGTGCTCGGACCTTCTCGGCCGACGTCGGCGCCTCTCCGCGCGATGCATCGCGACTCGCTCGTGCTGCTGGCCGCCGGATGGGGGTAACGAGGCTCTGTGGGGGAGTGATGAAAAGGGAAGGGAGGCGGGCGGGTTTTCTCTCTCTCTTGTTATCCCCTTCCCTTCGCGCCTGTCTCCTTCCTTGTCACACTCATTGATTAGTATACGCGCACGAACAGAAATAGGGAAAATATAGAAAAGACATGTTTTTAATAGAATTTTCAGATAGTATATGCTGTGCAGGTGGATTAGAATAATATTTGAACCAGGAAGCGATATTGTGGCTATTAAATAAACCTATGCTCCGATTCATTAAGTACTTTTTTTACACGATTTTTCAAATAATAGATTGATATTTACAGAAACCATCATTAAATCGCACATCTTTATATGTGCGTTATATCATGAGTGGACTGATATCTTTTTATTTTTCATTTGTATTTTACTTTACCCTACGATGAAATAAGTAAAAAGTAGCAATGAATTGTTTTGAACACACGAACAAATACAAAGAACTTGGTCCAGAAATGATATACCACGCCTTGGAGTCGCTAGATGAAATAGATAACTAAGAAGACTATTAAAGTTGCGTTATTGTACTCGAATGAAGTGTTTAGTACGGTCGTTAGTGGCCACCATAAAACAAATGTCAAATGATCTTATTAAACCGCAGAGGTTAATTGCCACGTAATGAATGGTTCTTTGTTTGCGCCATTAAGACTACAAGCGATAAGTTACGCGATCTCGTATCCTTGGCTAATGGTGTACGTGCGAATATAGTAGATACAAGTTAAGCTTAAAGTATTTCAAGTTCAAAATCTACAAAATTCTCTTTTTACTGTTCAAATTATCAACTAACCTTGCTCGGAGTAATGATATATAAACTGAACATGGTTCAATGAGAAAATCTTCGTCTACGCACTATTTCAACTGAAACCAAACTGAAGAAGACACAGTTCTGGATGGACGAAGTAGAGGTCTCTTGAATGGAGAACGCGAGGCTAGACCCTGACCTTGTACAACTTAATTTCACGGCTGGCACACGCGTCAAGGAATAGGTTGGAAAAGGTCACGAGCATCGCGAGGCATCATGCAAAAAGCCGCCCCTGAAACGGTCCACGAATTCCTGGGGAATTTCTTCGTAGGAAGGGAAAAAAACGGTCCCTAAGATAAAAAGTCACCCCACCGAGACGAGGGGTCAGTGAACGCGTGCACAGAAATATCTCTTGAACCAATCTCCTCCCATTTGTCTCGCATTTGTCATTCGTCAATTATTCACAACTTGGAGCATCTCTCTTGAGCCACACTCAGCTAACCAAATTTCCTGTCACCATTCTATAATATACAACAGTGTACAAAAATGAAGAAATCTTTACTGATAATTACCATTTCTTCTTTAATCACCCTCCTTTAAACCTCAGCTTCTCTAACTAACTTAGATGTCTTCATCTTCTAACGTAGCATCCTCTACAGGGCTTGTAAACTGCTCGAGGAACCTCTGAATCACTATAATGATATTAAATGATGTTGAGGATTATATTAAGAAGATTAATATTCAAGCCAGAGTTTGCAAAACAAGTACCAGGTGTCACACCCCTTTAACGGCAAGTTCCGAACTCGAACCTTAAATATCCCTCCGGTGGTCTGTAAAAAGGCATCCAACAGGAAGCGACGTCATCGACCCCCGCGGCGTGGTCCAGAAAAGAGCTATAACCACAAATCTTATCGCCAAGGGTGGAGGCAGACCAGAACGGGGGTTGATGGTCACGGTTACAGGGTCACTGGACTCAAGAAGTTCCACTTTCTTAAACGCCAGCAGTTAACGTCGCGGTCATAGGTCAGTTCTGCTGAAGTGAATTCAGGGGTGGCACCAACGAACAAAGGAACGGAAGAAACAAGTATCAGAACGAGTTCCAAGGGGTAGAACAGGGGTCGTTAATTTTTTTATTAGACCCTGTAAACTATATTTCATGAAATTGGAGTAGAACACTTGGGGACTAGAAATTTGTTGCTTGGAAACCCAATTTTTAGTAACAGATTTTAGTCTCAGTTTAGATTTCTGTGGATGGTATGAAGAGCTAAGAATGTAAGGGATGAAGAGGTTTACTTCGAAGTATGTACATTCTGGAGGATTTTTCTTGAGAGTTTGAAGTAACGTAAATTCTTTAATGTGTATAGAATAGATTTTTCGCGTGACGTTAAAACAAAGGTGGCGTGCAAGCTGTGCAAGCTTGGCTTCGGCGAATCATTTTCACGAGAGGCGTAATCAGTGCAATAAACTGCAATGCGGTATGCATGGCCAACCACGGAATTGCGGTTTAGATAAAAATATTAGACGTTAAGAGCCGTTGATGAAATACTCGACTACCCTCGAGGATTGTTTACCAAATATAAAACCACCACGTTCGCCACTTTTTGAATATTTCTATTTTTCACACTGTACCTTAAACAATCGAAAATTTACATGGGAACTAATGCCTTGAGGAAACCGAGAGGACACATCTCTAAAAACAAACAAAACCCCGAGGAGAAGGAACCGCTCTGTCCATGAAGAATCAATTCCCAAGGTCGGATCGCCAGATTCCCCAACCAAACATCTAAGGACCAAGTACGTCGACCTCGAAGTCCACCCTATCAGACGTTTCCTGGTTCCTTCCGACCCCGATAGAAAGGACCCACGCGAATCCTGGGCGACGACGACCCCCCGGGGCTGCGTGGTCCAAAAACAAGCTATAACCACAAATCTTATCGCCAAGCCGCGGGACCAAGTGGAAGAAGACGCTCGGGGGTGGCTGGTTAGGTTCAAGGGGGAGTCTGTCCCAACCTTCTGAGCTACCTAACAAGTAGCCTGTAAGAAGAGCCGTTTCGCCCGGTGATTCGTGCTCGTAGAGCTGCCGGCGGCGTCGTTGCTGGCCGGAGGAAAAACTGCGACACAGTTTTTCGGCCGACGAAAGAGACTCCCTCGAAGTTCAAGGCCATCCCCGAAGAAGAAAGGAGAGGGTCGCGTTTTTGTTTTCCCTGGCTCCGTTACGAGCACGACCGACAGACCGACAGACCCCGGCTGCCGAGACGTCTACTCACCCAGTCAGCAGACTATTTTTTCGTCACCTGTTCTTCCTTCGTGCCTGGTGACCTCTTATGAAATTTTACGACCAAGTGGAGTTAGGAATTCAGGTGGATCCTGAGAGGTCCTTCGATGAGGGCGTTAGGAAATTTCTGGGTGGACGTTGGAATGTTTGGTGGAATGTTGGAGTGAAGATTAGGTAGGAATGAAATGCGAGGGTACCAAGGTTGAATGGGAAGAATCGAGTGTTTGGTAGGTCTTGTATCTTGTATTTACTTCACTCCTACATTGTTTTAATACTGTTTGCAGTATTTTTCAACTCTCATAGTAGTGGAGACTAGACTGTGTGCTGGCCGCCCTATAGCTCGGGTACCTCGGGATCGCTAAACCCGTACTGTAGCTGCATATTCGCATACTACAGTCCCTGAGGGTGTTTGGTAGGTAGGTCTTCTAGGTATGTAGATCGAGAACTGAATCGAAGATCAACGAGTAAGAGCAAGAAGAATCGAGTATTCGAGTCTCCGATAGCCTCAAGCTATACCTAGAGTATTCAACTAAAAACAATGACGAAAATTACTAAAATTAGTAAACCCACGAAAAGAGATCTTGAACGTGAACATATAGCCTGTCGTAGACTCGGATGTCTCTCGTAAATCCCATAGCAAAGGGGGCCGCTTCGAAACCCTGGACACCATCGGGTACATCGATCGAGCGAGCTCTGGTCCAGGATCGCGGCCATCTTCCGCGCCGGTTTTCACCGACCAATCAACCGGAAGAACCGGGCGAAATTTGAAAAATCCCAAGACGAATCGTCCGGATGGTGGCTCGTTGGTCGGTACGGTCGGCCATGTTGCCACCAACGGGGGAGGAGAAGGAAGAAGGGGGGCGAAAGAGGCGGCCGGGCGAGTAACAAGAAATCTTGAAACAGAGCAAAAGGGTGGAGACGGAGATTAATGAGAAACGAATCCGGACGAGAGGGGAGAGAGGAGGACGAGGAGAGCAGGACGAGTAACCGAAGATCGGAGCGTTCGAACCGATCTTCCAAAAGGGTTCGCCATGTTGGATGGGAAATATAGACGACATCTCCGTACCATTGACGCAGGTCAGGGTTAGACCGAACTTTTCCATCCAGGACTCGAACGTTTCCTTGGTCCCTTCTTCTTTCTGCTTGGTTTGCTTAGGCAAACGTCTCTAGGGTAGTCGAGGACGACACAGGCCCCATTATTGCGGGGTGTTTTACCATTTATGCGATAAGAACCGCAGGATACATTTTTCAATCTTTTTTCTAGCATCTTCTTTTTTCATCTGTTTCATATCGTAACATTCTCGCGTATAGAATATACGCGAAAACCTATGTAAATATAACAACAATGTAAATAGGTCACAAGATTGCAAGTAGTTCCTCGATCATTTTACAAAAATCAGGTGCAGATAGACCTGCAGTGTCTGAACACCCTCGACAAACATTTAACTAATTAACTTCACCTTCTTTTCTTTATTTTCATCCCCCACAATACAATTCTAACAAAGCTTGCCCTCCTCCATCTGGCAAGCAAATATGTCGCATAATTCCTCGATTATTCAAAAATTGCCAGAAAAAAGCAACCCTGAAACTTTCACCCAACTCTGTCATACACATTCGCATAAACATTTCGCGGAAACTCTGGAGTGGCACGCACACGTTCGAATTTTTTTCTCTCAGCGTCCCCTAAAGCTACCGATAACGGGTGATCTGCGACCCCGTCGGAGCGGGCCACATGCATAATTAATTAAATGGATATGCAGTTTCGATTGCAAACGACGCCGAGCCCGGTACACACCCCATTCCTCCCAGAGGGTTGGGTTCCTCATTTAGAAAATGAAATTGCACGAGAGGGCGTGCACCCTCTTCGCG